CCTTTGGCCTCCTGAAAGTCCTGTTGGGAAAGGGGGGGTGGGGTGCTGTGGTGGTGGGGGGTTGTGGCCAGCTTCTAAAAGCTGGGATGGGAGTCCTGCTTTTGGGGAAATTATAAGACTGGTTGCTAGGCTGTGGAGGCCTTCCCATTGAGAGTAAAGACTGGGACTGGCTGTGTCTGTTCCCTCAACTTTTTTGATTTTTCAAGGCAGGGTTTCTCTAGCTTTGGAGGCTGCCCTGGGACTAGCTCTTGTAGACCAGGCTAGGTCTGCCTGCCTCTACAGGCAGTGCTAGGATTAAAGGCTCCAGACTTACTTGCCTCACAATCTAAGAGCTCTTCTGCTCTAATAGACTCTGCCCCTTGAATCCATCCAGCATTGCTTCAGGCCACTTTCTTCACAAGGTGAAGAATTGGGTGGGATGTCAGTAAGTCCTGCTTGACTAGGGTTGCTACAGGACTGTTTGAGCAAGAGCAGACAACCAGCTGTTGTCCATTATTGGCAGGGCTTCAGTTAACCATGTGTCCAGAACTATGTCTTAAGATGAGGGAAATTGCTGAAGTAATGTTCACAGCAGCAGCACTAACCCTAACAGCCAAAAGGTAGAAATAGCTCAGGAGTCTTTCCAACTGGAGTGAAGACTTCAAGGCTAAGCAACAGAACATTGGGCCATAAATATTCTGGCAGCTGCCACAATGCAGGCAGAGCCTGAAGACAGGTTACCCAGAGATGGTGCTGTTAGCTGGCAATGCAGTGCAGTGACTGCTTAATGTGAGCAGTTTGGTGTTCTGGAATTAGAACTAGGGATGTACTTTAACACATACTGGAGTGGAGTGCTTGCCAGCGTGCACAAGGCCCTGGGGCACTGGACATGGGCACACACCCGTTATCTCAGCGCTCAGAAGATCTACAGTCACCTTTGCATATACAGTGAGTTCAGCTAGGCCTACCTGAGACCCTACCAAAATAAAAGGCTATAGAGGAAAATGGAATGGTGGCTCAGTGGTTACAAACAGGTAGTGGGTGCCCTTGCAGAGGACCTGGGTGTTCTGAGTTCAGTTCCTGGCTCAGGGGAGATGGCCACACGCTGTTTAACGAGAGCAGGCCCAGACTTGGGATAGAGTGTCACCCTTCACCATTATCAATACAGCTTGTCCTTTTTTTTTTTTTTTTTTTTTTTTTTTTTTTTTTTGAGTCAGGGTTTCTCTGTGGCTTTGGAGGCTGTCCTGGAATTAGCTCTTGTAGACCAGGCTGGCCTCAGTTTGTCCTTTTGTTGTTGCTTTCATTTCCAGGCAGAGTTTCTCTGTGTAGCCCTGGCCATCCTGGAACTTCCCTCTGTAGACCAGGCTGGCCTCAAACTCAGAGATCTGCCTGCCTCTGGCTCCCGAGTGCTGGGATTAAAGGCGTGCACCACCACTGCCCAGCTGATATAAGTATGTTTTAAAGAAATCAAGAAGTTCCAATTGTCGTGAATCAATGAGAGTGTGGGGTCACTTATTATGCAGTAGCATAGCAAAGTCTCCTGCCCGATACCTAGGTGTCCCGTGTACCAGTGGCATCCCTAGTATAGGAGCTGAGTAGTACACTAACTACCGTGGGGAGTGGAGGAAGTCTGGAGTGAATGTGTCTGAGCACGGCCAAGGACTCCAATGCCTCAGACTCATGGAAATGGCAAAGCCTTCTCCAGGTGGGGCTCAGAGGAACAGTGAAGTCTTCCCTGTTTCAAGTACAGATCTTACGAAGGATCAGTTGACCTGTGTGTGCAGAAAGTATCACCCACAGCTTCCTTTTCCCAGGCGACTGAAACCCTAGACTGTTCCCTTACAGAGACCTCCCACCAAGATTAACTAATCCACCTTCTCTTTCATCTGTGTGCATTAAGCTTGCTTCCTGGATTCAAACACAACAAATAAACCTATTGACTTTCCAGGTTACAAATGGTGCCTCTCCACCAGAGTGCACAGTCCACCTGATCCCATCACCTCACCGCAGTCAGGTTAACCCCAAAGTCATGCAGCTCTGGGCACAGAGTATTTCTATCTCATCACTCCAATGCCTGGACTTCCAAACACTTGGGTCTACAGGGTCTCAAATAACTCAGGCCAGTTAAGATGTATATATGGTGTGTGTGTGTGTGTGTGTGTGAGAGAGAGAGAGAGAGAGAGAGAGAGACAGAGACAGAGACAGAGACAGAGACAGAGACAGAGACAGAGACAGAGACAGAGACAGAGACAGAGACAGAGACAGAGACAGAGACAGAGACAGAGACAGAGACAGAGACAGAGACAGAGACAGAGACAGAGACAGAGACAGAGACAGAGACAGAGACAGAGACAGAGACAGAGACAGAGAGAGAGAGAGTGCCTTCAGAGCACAGCTGTGTGTGGCTGCGGCTGTGCGTGGCTGTTTTCTTTATGGGCTCTGGGGATTCAAACTCAGGTCTTCAAGTTGTGCGTAAGTACTTTATCCACGGAGCCATTTCCCCAGCCAAGGCTTTAGAATTATTTATTGTAGAGCATGTGTGTAGCTTGCTTGAGTCTGTGTGCACTACAGGAATGCTATGGAGGACAGAAGAGGGCATTGTCGCCCTAGCACTGTAGTTACAGATGGTTCTGAGCCACTGTGTAAGGGCTTTTAAAATTGTGGTAAATGCCCATAACAAAATTTAACCTTTTAATCCTTTCTCCCTACAAGTATTAGGCAGTGAATCCACGACATTGAGCATGCTAGGAAAGTGCTATCCACTCTTTGATTTTTATTTTGAGAAAAGATTTCACAGTTTAGCCTAGGCTGGCCTTGACTTAGAGTATTTCTGCCTTAGCCTCCTGAGTAGCCAGAATTACAGGCCTGACTCAGCAGCCCAGGCTCTGCTTTGTGCTCTTCATCTCTCTCTCTCCCACTCTTTCAACCATTTTTAAGTATACACCTAAAACGTGGGTGTGGTGGCTCACGCCTATAATACCAGTGCTGTGGAAGCTAAGAGGAGAGAATTGCTTTGAATTCAAAGCTAAAGAGCAAGACCCCATCTCAAACCAAACACCAGGGCCAGAGAGATGGCTCAGTGAAGAGCATTGGCTGCTCCTGCAGAGGACCTGGGTTCAGTTCCCAGAGCCCAGGTAACTGCTCACAATCTTCTCTAACTCCAGTTCCAGGTGACCTGACACCCACTGAGGGCACATGGACCATGTAGTGTTCACACACACATGCAGGCAAGCACTCATATGCATAAAATGAAAATAAATAAAATCTGTTTTTTTGTTTTGTTTTTCTGAAGACATGGTCTCCCCACATAACCCTGGCTGTCCTGGAACTCTCTATGTAGATCAAGGTGGCCTCAAACTCAGAGATCCACCTGCCTGTGCCTCTTGAGTATAAGATTAAAGGCGTTAGCAACCATGGTCAGCTCCATGATAAAACAATCTTAAAACATCCAAATAACAAAAATGTATACAGTTAGGTTAGGGCACTTCTTGTTAAATGTTTATTGTTAAATTTTCAAAAAAAAATTTATGTGGGCTGGAGAGATGGCTCAAAGTTTAAGAACATTCGATTAGGCCGGATGTTGGTGGCACACACCTTTAATCCCAACACTCGGGAGGCAGAGGCAGGTGAATCTCTGTGAGTTCGAGGCCAGCCTGGTCTACAGAGCGAGTGCCAGGATAGACTCCAACACAGGTCTCTCTACACAGAGAAACCCTGTCTTGAAAAAAAAAAATTCGATCTTGTAAGAGGTCATTTCCCAGCACCCACATAGCAGCTCCTAACTGTCTGTAACTCAATTCCAGGGGACCTGGCAGTCTCCTGACTTCTGAGGCTCCTGCACCCATATGTGGTAAACATACAACACTCAGGCACACACACACAAAACAATTAAATAAATATATATTTTCAAAATGATGTGTATATGTGTTTTCTTTTCTGTATGCCACATGTATGCAGGTATCCACAGAGGCCAGAGGAGGGGACCAAATCCCCTGGGCTTACAGGTGGTTGTAAATCATCATGGGGTCGTTGGGAATCAAATCCAGGACCTCTGCAAGAGCAGCAAGTGCTCCTAACCACTGAGCCATCTCTCCAGCCCCCTTCAGAATCTTTTTGTCTTCCAGAACTGCTCTTTTTATTATTATTATTATTATTTTAGATTTATTTATTTTATTTTATGAGCACTTTGCTTGATTGGATTTCTGTGCATGAGTATGCCTGGTGCCCCAAGAGGCCAGAAAAGGGCATTGGATCTCATGGAGCTGGAGTTATGGATGGTTGTGGATCACCGTGTGGTGCTTAGAATTGAACCTGGGTCCTCTGCAAGAACGGCAAGTGCTACTAACCATGGAGCCATCTCTCCATTCCTGGAGCTCATATTCTATTCTTAGTAAAGAACAAAGGTCGTCCACGTGTTTAGGGCCCACTCTGTGGACGGGCACTGGCTGCTCCCTCCTAGCTGCCATGTTGACGTGGACAGGCCCAAAGTCCCAAGCTCAGTTCTCTTGCATCCCATGACTCTGGAAGTGGCCACCCTTCAAGGTGTGTTGCAAACCCTGACTGATGGGCTGTGGCCAGGCCTCTCTGGAAATACCTGACTAGCATTGCTATATAGAAACCAGAAACCCAGCCTAGGAAACACCTCAGAGCTCAGGCAGCAGAACCAGCCCAAAGAGAGGTCAGAGCTATCTATGTTCCATAGAGGATGAGTGGTATGGAGGACCTGGGACTTATAGGGTGTGGAAGCGCAGGCAGTTCAAGATTCCCTGGTGATTGGGTGCCACGGTTCACACAAGTATCCCAAGACCTTGAGTGTCCTGCCTGCTGGGCCCTCCCAGCCGACAGAAGCAGGAGCTGTAGCCTGGAGTACCTGTGTGTGTATTCACCTTGTGTGTCTGCGCACATACCAATGTTTCCCTGTGTGGCCTGTAGCATATGCTGGTGCTCAACACCAGTTCTCATCGAGTGCAGACTCAAGCAAGCCCTCTCTGCTCTCTTGTGACTCCATCCCCTGGCTCTGC